CCATGCTTCACGGTTGGGATGGTGTTCTTGGGGTTGTACTCATCCTTCTTCTTCCTCCAAACACGGCGAGTGGAGTTTAGACCAAAAAGCTCTATTTTTGTCTCATCAGAACACATTATCTTCTCCCATTCCTCCTCCGGATCATCCAGATGGTCATTGGCAAACTTCAGACGGGCCTGGACATGCGCTGGCTTGAGCAGGGGGACCTTGCGTGCGCTGCAGGATTTTAATCCATGACGGCGTAGTGTGTTACTAATGGTTTTCTTTGAGACTGTGTTCCCAGCTCTCTTTAGGTCATTGACCAGGTCCTGCCGTGTAGTTCTGGGCTGATCCCTCACCTTCCTCATGATCATTGATGCCCCACGAGGTGAGATCTTGCATGGAGCCCCAGACCGAGGGTGATTGACCGTCATCTTGAACTTCTTCCATTTTCTAATAATTGCGCCAACAGTTGTTGCCTTCTCACCAAGCTGCTTGCCTATTGTCCTGTAGCCCATCCCAGCCTTGTGCAGGTCTACAATTTTATCCCTGATGTCCTTACACAGCTCTCTGGTCTTGGCCATTGTGGAGAGGTTGGAGTCTGTTTGATTGAGTGTGTGGACAGGTGTCTTTTATACAGGTAACAAATTAAAACAGGTGCAGTTAATACAGGTAATGAGTGGAGAACAGGAGGGCTTCTTAAAGAAAAACTAACAGGTCTGTGAGAGTCGGAATTCTTACTGGTTGGTAGGTGATCAAATACTTATGTCATGCAATAAAATGCAAATGAATTACTTAAAAATCATACAATGTGATTTTCTGGAAAACCTGCAAAATCGGCAGTGTATCAAATACTTGTTCTCCCCACTGTATTTGACCATTTTAATACAGACTAGCTCAAAACATTACTAATCATTCAAAATTACCAATTATCCAATGAATCATGATAATTTTATGGTAAAAAAGTGGGGGCGCAAAAGCATAAGTTTGCACCCCTATTTTGAAAGTGGGGGTGCAGCTGCTTTGTTTGCGCCATTGCTCAGGCGCCTATGAATAGAGGTGTTACGTTTCTGTAAGCTAAGCCCTCGGACAGTAGGGAAAGTTCAAGTGCGTCGTACATGAGCCCCATGTCCATAACTGTTTCGAGGACAGTCATTTTAGCAACCCCTGGTCAAGTTTCTGTCTGTGGCTTGTTACATCAGATTTGGCCCGCTCGAAGTAGGGCAGGCCAGCCCCATAAGAAGGCCCGCCCATAACGCCAGCTCTGTATTGTAGCATATTACATTCAAAGGCCAATTTTGAAAGATGTACAGTATGTTGCATTTTTTGCTATTGAATTAACTGTCTGTTAAAATAACTAAATTGATGTTCATTATGTTGAGTTTTGGTGATTAAATCAATGTTCTCATGGTGTTTCACAGTAAACTATTTTGGATGATCAATGGTTGTGTGGTGAAAGATGTCTTCAAATTAAATGAATGCACAATAAAACGTTTTTGAATATGACACTTACGCATTACATGTGTTACCAGTTTGGAGGCTTGTACAAAGAGTTTAGAATATTCAGCACATACTTGTGAAAATGTCACTAAAGCGATTGAAAAAAACTGTAACGCGTATACTTTGATAACTGCTGAACAATTTCTATATTTAAATGTATCAATTTGACATCAATTTATGTTAGAAGGTAAAACCAAATCATGTATGGATGTGGCTGTAAATACTACATCATCATTCTCCATCAGCCAGTGTGCTTCAACAGGACAAAGTGTAGTCATTTTACAGTATGTGCTACCATTTGGAATTATAGTGTGGGTGTACAATGCACTGCTGAAATACCTGGGTTGTATATAACAATATTCCACTCATCTGAATTTCATGAATTTCATTTTTTACACTGTAAGCTGATGAATTTCAAGCAGAGATACAGGTGAAACTGTATCAGTTGACAAGTTACGTAGAAAAGGTGATCTTGTACAATGGTGCATGGGGCAGAAATGGTATACAACACCGTGCTATGTTTTTATAGTAGCCAACTGCTTTATAATACCCTTATTTCTGATGATTTGTCCTACGTATGTACTGTATAATTATAATGAAACTGTAAGACTGACATATTTCTACAAATTATTTTAAAAAGAGTGCATGTCAAGCTTTAGTCAAATACTGTATGGAAAATTATATTTACAATCTACTATTCTGTCTAACTAGTACTTAAAAATAACAGTTTGAAATGTCTATCTTGTATTTTTTATATTTTTTGGTTTAAATGGTAGTTAAAAGGACTAATGGTGAGCCTATCATTAGATGATGTATTGGTGACTAAACCATTTTTGTTCATGGTATTTCACAAAAACAAAATATTTTGTGTGAATGACTCAGGGCTGTAATACAGGATGTGTGAAACCCCAACTGTCACGCCCTGGCTCTGGGGACTATGTTATGTTGAGCCAGGGTGTGTAAGTCTATGTTTAATTTTCTATGTTGGGCTGAGTGACTCCCAATCAGAGGCAACGAGTGTCAGCTGGGTGTCTCTGATTGGGAGCCATATTTAACTGTTTGTCTTGCACTTTGTGTTTTGTGGTTTCTTGTTCCTTTTGGTTGTGTATCGAAGGACTTCACGTTTCGTTCTTTGTTTTGATCGTGTGATCAGTTGAATAAATATAATATGTTCACCCGCAACGCTGCGCCTTGGTCTCCCTCTGGTAGACGATCGTGACAGAAGAAACCACCTTAACCAGACCAAGCAGCGTGTTCAGGAGCCATCGCTGGCAGATCTCCGTGGCAACCTCGACTGGATCAAGCAGCGGGACGAGGAGAGAGGATGGACGTGGGAGGAGATGATTGCGAGTCTGGCAAGAGGGAGGAGAGACCCCCAGGAAATTTTTAGGGGGGGGCTCACGACGTCGGGCCAGCAGGTGTACGGGTTAGAGCGGTGCAAAGCGTTGGCAGAGAAGGCCGCCAGGTTAGGGGGGCCACTGGGCACAGAGGAGAGGGAAAGTGTGGAGGCACGGCGAGAGGTACTGGGGTGTGTTACCAGTCCGGTCCGGCCCGTTCCTGATCCCTGCGTGGGGCCAGTGGTGTGTGTCCCCAGTACGGTCCGGCCTGTTCCTGCCATTCCCACCAAGTCAGTGGTGCGCGTCGTCAGCCCGGCCCGGCCTGTTCCTGCCATTCCCACCAAGTCAGTGGTGCGCGTCGTCAGCCCAGCCCGGCCTGTTCCTGCCATTCCCACCAAGTCAGTGGTGTGCGTCGACAGCCCAGCCCGGCCTGTTCCTGCTCCACGCACAAAGCCTACGGTGTGCGTCGACAGCCCAGCCCGGCCCGTTCCTGCTCTCCGCACCAAGTCTGTGGTGCGCGTCGCCAGCCCAGTCCGGCCCATCCAAGCTTCCCGCACCAAGCCAGTGGTGTGCGTCGTCAGTCCGGCACGGCCCGTTCCTGCTCTCCGCACCAAGTCTGTGGTGCGCGTCGCCAGCCCAGTCCGGCCCATCCAAGCTTCCCGCACCAAGCCAGTGGTGTGCGTCGTCAGCCCTGTCCGGCCCGTTCCTGCTCTCCGCACCAAGTCTGTGGTGCGCGTCGCCAGCCCGGTCCGGCTCATTCCTGCTCCCCGCACCAAGTCAGGGGTGCGCTTCGTCAGCCCGGTCCGGCCCGTTCCTCCTCCACGCATCAAGCCAGGGGTGTGCGTCGTCAGTCCAGCACAACCCGTGCCTGGGTCATGTCCGGAGCCGGATCCACCGCCGAGGCGGAGTGCCCACCCGGTCCCTCCCCTGTTGTGGTTGTTTGGCGCGGCCGGAGTACGTTTTTGTAAATGTAACACGGTAAGATGACCATTTCAATTATTTTAAAAAGATGCATGTCAAGCTTTGTCAATACTGTATGGAAAATATATTTAATCTGTTGTCTAAAGTACTTAAAAATAAGTTTGAAGTTATCTTGTATTTTTTATTTTTTGTTTATGGTAGTTAAAGGACTATGGTGCTATCATTAGATGATGTGTGATAACATTTTTGTCATGTTATGTCACAAAAACAAATATTTGTGTGATGACTCAGGCTCGTAAACAGGATGTGTGAAACCCCAACGAAAGCACAATCAAAGGTTCTGAACATAAGATAGGGGGCATTACAAGTATTATCAGTTTAGAGCTTTGTACTTAGAGTTTTGAAAATATACCACTTACATCCGAAAAATCTGCCCAAGTGATTGAAAAAAACGGTAAACATATACACACATTTACACCAACTCATGGGACATTGTTGGAGACAGATTGCGTTTTTTTAAGGTAGGGAGACCGAAGCACGTGGTCTGGAAGCATGTGACATGAGAAGTTCACAGAGGCCATTATTTTCTCCCTTTCATGCAGTGATGCAGTGAGCAGTAATTAAATATGCCACTTATGCTTCACTGATTAATTTCCCTTCACAATTTGGTGGCTCAGCTGAATGCAGCTTTATGGGCAGAAGGGCTATATTGTATCCATTATTGCCTCATTACTGGTTGTAAGGGCTTGGTGTGGGGGAGGGACATAGTGAGGGTAAAGCGCCCCATGAAGACATTATGGTTGTCTCTCCAAACATAACTATACTCTCCATTGTCAGTTCTGTCCCCATTTTTCTGATGTAATGTGCTTTACTTTCTTGAAGTAGCTTGCTAATCTGCCAGATAATCTAAATGACCAGCAACTTAATGACGACCAGCAACTTAATGACGACCAGCAACTTAATGACGACCAGCAACTTAATTTACAAAGAGTTTCTACTGTAGCTTCTCTATTGTGCTTTTGTTGACTGTAAAGGTTAGACTTCCACAATGTCTCGCACGCAGTCACTGTAATCATTGCTCTCTCTGGACAGTGTCCTGCAGAAGAGCCACTTTGCTCTGGCCTCAGGCCTCAGCGGCTAGTGGATCTCTCCACAGAGCAATGCCTCTCTTGTGTCACTGACATGGAGAGATGCAGGTTCACTTGCCCTGCGTAGGGGCTTATCTAGGGCTAAGCTAGGGGGGCGGACAAATAGCAAAGCCAGCCTCACTCCAGCCAGCCGGTCTAAGGGCACAGAGAGCCATCTGTCCATTCTCTGTGCAATAACTGACAACAAAGGGGGTCAAACATTTAACTAGGACTGTAAAACTAGAGGACTATTCATTCTGGAGTGACAAAGAGAGGAAGAGGAACAAATATTCATACTAAAATAGCAGGTTAGTGTTTTATACTAATAGTTCTTGTTACATTACAGGCGCCTCAACTAATGGGGCTGACAGAGGATTAGGCTTTACAGCGACTCATGTTTCCCTTGGTAATAATATTGCAAATAAGAAAATTACAGAAGTCTTATTCAACCGTAGACTTTAATCCCGTTCTTTTAACAATTTACAAGTAAATTACCCTCAATAGCCGGTTGCCCTGAGTTGACACAGACTTAGCTACCCATGTCATTGAATTTCTATACCCTTATTGTTATATGCAATACAATTACATTTTCTCTACAGTACTGAATTTAATTGATGGAACTAAAGCAAGGCTTTTGGTCAAATATTGTGGTTTTGAGGATACATATATTTGCCAATGTTCTATGCCCTTGTATTCCAGGAATAACCTTTATCCACACATTTTGATTGGCCTAATCTCATTTTATGATGTGAGAGGAAGGTTTTAAAATGCTCAGATGTAATACAACAGTATTTAGTCCCTATAACACACAATTATGGGGTGGAGAGTGTTAAAGCACACAACATAGTCTCTGAGAAAAGTCACTTGTCTCATGATAAACTTTCAATTTCAATATGAATACCTTCCAGAAATTAATATTTAATGAATATCCATTTCTTCAACAAGATCAAAATCCTGATATTGTTCTAAAGATCAGCTAGTCAAGAGTACATGTGTTCCCTGAAGTCTAATTCCAGTTTGCTTACAAAGATTAGATTTGTATCAACAACTTTTGTCACTAGATGTTTAATTGTTAAATCATGTTTATGGCTGCTCCTGAGTATTAGCGTTTTGTTCTGTAATCTTGAGTGGGTGCTGACATACTAGAGGTGACTGAAATGGGTCAAAGGGGTCTTAAGCATTAACCAAACAAATCCTGGCCTATAGGATTAGCCTGGGATGTTGCTGTATGTCGCATGCATTTAGTGTAGCTCAATTGGTAGAGCACGGCGCTTGTAACGCCAGGGTAGTGGGTTCGATCCCCGGGACCACCCATATGTAAAAATGTATGCACGCATGACTGTAAGTCGCTTTGGATAAAAGTGTCTGCTAAATGGCATATTATATTATTATATTATAATGACACAGAGAAGAGAATCACTCTTGTTAGGCTATATATACCCTGCTGTTCAACAACTCGTTGAATTCCTAATATTATTGTCTGCAGCAATGTTCTATAATTTTTTATATGGCGTGAAGATGTGTGAAGACATTTGCATTGCTTGCTGGGAATTGACCCAGGCTTGACTTAGCAATGAAAGTTGAAGCAATTATAATTAAAGAATCATATGCTGTTTGAATGTAATGATATGTTATTGTCAAACTCAAACATTTTTACCCATCACCCTTGTGTGTACCCATCCTTGTTGCTTCCATGGCTTTCTTAGGTGTGGCATGGCGGTCATCTATTGGTGTAGGTAAGTATCTGAGTTGGGTCAAAGGTTGGGGCGGACTTGGACCAGAAATCGTCCCTGGCATTTCTAACACACTCCTCGAGGCCCCCACACTGGCCCATTTCTTTCCTTGAGGCCCCCATTATTAGCCATATAATGATCATTTTGTGCGAAAAACCCAAGCTAGACAGGTCCACTGGGCTAGAAATGGACAGCCCATCTGGCATTTTCTCGAAATGCCAGATGGCCAGTCCGTCCCTGGTCAAAGGTCATGCATGACACACTTGGTAAGATACAAAAAGGACAAATACAGTTATGTTTAAAGCATTGGTGTACTGATGTAGGATCTTAATTTGTGCCAGTTTGTTGTGTGAATTATAATTAATGGAGACATTTTTTTTAGGGGGTTTTCATTAGGGTAAATCAAGTCTGACATTTTAAAATGGAAATTACAAACTTTAGAAGCCTTTATGAACCTCAAATACACTACAAGTTAAAATTCTCAGCAACAAAAGAGTGATAAAAAATTATCCTACATCTGTAGCTTTGGGCAAGTTTTGATAGAATGTAGGATTGTGGAAAGAAGGATTCTGTCCATTCCACATTCACCAACAGACTAAAGTAGTATTTTCATATTTGAGTGTCCCACTCCTGTCCGACTTATATTCAGAGACATTCCTATGTGGTTCTGGGTACAGGATGAAGGGTACATGGGAACAGTGGGACATTGTGCTCCCACAGTGTGATATTACTAGGGTATTATTAGAGACGGTCACACAGACATCACTTGATCTCCAGCCCTGTAGGACACAGACAGCTCCTTTTGTATTTTTATCTAATCAAAGAACAGTCTCACAAGTTCTGTTTAGCCGGAACTAATGAGGGAGTCCCGTGTGAGCATCACACCAGAGGCAAACGCTAATTTTACCCAGTCACAGCTATCAACCAGTAAAACAGGATCATAGGGATAACCCTTGCATCATAGGGCTAATGATAAAGACATATGTAACCATGTATGCTTACCAGTACATGGACACAATTAACTCTGGAGGCTTGGATTTCACTTTTAAGTTATTATGTGGTAAAAACCTGAGGTCAAAATCAAAAAGAAAATAGCATTCACTGTAGGGACAACTCTCTAATCGTAAAATGACAAATTAATTGTCTGATTAATTCTGGGAAAGCCTCCAAATATAGTTGTATTGATTGCCTGTTACATTGGATACATTTCAAGGGTCGTGCAGGGCTTTCGAATTCTAATTTCATTTTATGAATGACTGAACAAAAATCAATTGACTATGCCAGTTTCATGTGAATTGGTCCCTGTTTGTGTCTACAGAGTGTTGTAGGAAGCTGAGTGTCTAGACCGTTGATAAGTGTGAATATGTCTGACAAGGAAGGTGGGGCCTCAGAGGGGGGGCTGAATGTTACCCTCACTTTACGGCTTCTGATGCATGGGAAGGTAAACAAGTCTCATCATTGCAACATATCCCTATTCTTTTATAATATTCCCATTGTCAGATCAGATTGAAAATGTTATAATTTTATTGATTTATATATTTGTTTGGTGTCTCATTGTTAACAGGAAGTGGGCAGCATAATTGGAAAGAAAGGGGAAACTGTAAAAAAGATGAGAGAGGAGGTACACATATATTTTCTGACATAACAAATGCAATAAAATGCTAATTTCAATAGAAAAATTGTATTTTTACATGACACCTAAAATTACATCTGTGTTTCTAGAGTGGAGCTCGCATCAACATTTCGGAGGGATCTTCTCCAGAGAGGATTGTTACCATCACAGGACCAACAGAGGGCATCTTCAGAGCTTTCTCTATGATCGCTGAGAAGTTTGAGGAGGTAACAAAATACTCTGGTATCATGTACTCTGGTGTATCTTTATGTTAATATCTTACAAGTAAAAATGTACTAATTTCCTCACTTTGGGCAACATTTCACTCAAAACTTCCATTGACTTCAATGAATGATACAATACAAAAGATTTTGTCAGGACCCCCTATATTTTGATAACATGAAAACTGTTGTCTAAACCACTATTTCAGGACATTACAGCTGCAATGACAAACAGCACTGTAACAAGCCATCCTCCAGTGACACTCCGCCTTGTGTTCCCAGGGAGTCAGTGTGGCTCCTTGATAGGCAAAGGAGGCTCCAAGATCAAGGAGATCAGAGAGGTAGAAGAAGCTAGGCCTGAAGCATCTCTCATTTACTTCCTGTATCTTTTGACAACAATTTCGTCCAGCGGGAGCTCATTTGATTTAGCCTGGTCCCAGATCTGTTTGTGCTGTATAGCCAATTAATGACCGTAGGAGTTGTTTACACAGCATACAGTAAGGGAAAAAAGTATTTGATCCCCTGCTGATTTTGTACATTTGCCCACTGACAAAGACATGATCAGTCTATAATTTTAATGTAGGTTTATTTGAACAGAGACAGAATAACAACAAAGAAATCCAGAAAAACGCATGTCAAAAATGTTATGAATTGATTTGCATTTTAATGAGGGAAATAAGTATTTGACCCCTCTGCAAAACATGACATAGTACTTGGTGGCAAAACCCTTGTTGGCAATCACAGAGGTCAGACGTTTCTTGTAGTTGGCCACCAGGTTTGCACACATCTCTGGAGGGATTTTGTCCCACTCCTCTTTGCAGATTTTCTTCAAGTCATTAAGGTTTCGAGGCTGATGTTTGGCAACTCGAATCTTCAGCTCCCTCCATAGATTTTCTATGGGATTAAGGTCTGGAGACTGGCTAGGCCACTCCAGGACATTAATGTGCTTCTTCTTGAGCCACTCCTTTGTTGCCTTGGCCGTGTGTTTTGGGTCATTGTCATGCTAGAATACCCATCCACGACCCATTTTCAATGCCCTGGCTGAGGGAAGGAGGTTCTCACCCAAGATTTGACGGTACATGGCCCCGTCCATCGTCCCTTTGATGCGGTGAAGTTGTCCTGTCCCCTTAGCAGAAAAACACCCCCAAAGCATAATGTTTCCACCTCCATGTTTGACGGTGGGGATGGTGTTCTTGGGGTCATAGGCAGCATTCCTCCTCCTCCAAACACGGTGAGTTGAGTTGATGCCAAAGAGCTCAATTTTGGTCTCATCTGACCACAACACTTTCACCCAGTTCTCCTCTGAATCATTCAGATGTTCATTGGCAAACTTCAGACAGGCCTGTATATGTGCTTTCTTGAGCAGGGGGACCTTGCGGGCGTTGCAGGATTTCAGTCCTTCACGGTGTAGTGTGTTACCAATTGTTTTCTTGGTGACTATGGTCCCAGCTGCCTTGAGATCATTGACAAGATCCTCCCGTGTAGTTCTGGGCTGATTCCTCACCGTTCTCATGATCATTACAACTCCACGAGGTGAGATCTTGCATGAAGCCCCAGGCCGAGGGAGATTGACAGTTATTTTGTGTTTCTTCCATTTGCGAATAATCGCACCAACTGTTGTCACCTTCTCACCAAGCTGCTTGGCGATGGTCTTGTAGCCCATTCCAGCCTTGTGTAGGTCTACAATCTTGTCTCTGACATCCTTGGAGAGCTCTTTGGTCTTGGCCATGGTGGAGAGTTTGGAATCTGATTGATTGATTGCTTCTGTGGACAGGTGTCTTTTATACAGGTAACAAACTGAGATTAGGAGCACTCCCTTTAAGAGTGTGCTCCTAATCTCAACTCGTTACCTGTATAAAAGACACCTGGGAGCCAGAAATCTTTCTGATTGAGAGGGGGTCAAATACTTATTTCCCTCATTAAAATGCAAATCAATTTATAACATTTTTGACATGCGTTTTTCTGGATTTTTTTGTTGTTATTCTGTCTCTCACTGTTCAAATAAACCTACCATTCAAATTATAGACTGATAATTTCTTTGTCAGTGGGCAAACGTACAAAATCAGCAGGGGATCAAATACTTTTTTCCCTCACTGTAGATCTGGGATCAGGCTACATTTGATGATCCCATCCTAACCTTTCAATCACCCAATGAAACGGCCTCAGGTAAATTAATTACAGTGAAGCACCAGCACCACACTACACTATTCAGGGAGACTGATAAGCCTGGAGTACCAAACATTCTTATTCATCAAAGGAATGGGGTGCTGAATCCTCATAGTAAACATAGTAAATGAACTATGAAGGAGGATTGCACTCTCCAAATAATTGGATGTCAAATATTTATGTTGACATAATCTCGGAACACAGAAACCAAATCTTGTGTGCACTGGCTAGCAGTGTCACGAGAGACTAATTTGTACAACATGAATGTTGTGCATGTAAAAAAAATAATCAGACACTGTACAATTATATATGAATAATATATGATCAAAAGGAATATTTTGACAAATAATGGCCTATCTTTGTAATTGACTCCCATTGTATGTAATGTTCAGACCACAGGTGCTCAGGTGCAGGTGGCAGGGGACATGCTGCCAGAATCCACTGAGAGAGCTGTCACTATCTCAGGCACTCCTCAGGCCATCACACAGTGTGTCAGACACATCTGCTCTGTCATGCTGGAGGTAAGCAACCAATACAATTAACATACAGTATTATTATAGCATCCAATTATCAGTTTGTTCAAATTGATATCCAGACCTGAAATGGCTCAAGGCTTGATAATTATGGTATCAAACCATGCCATAATAATGAAGGCTACAGCCATATCAGGGACAAGTCATCTAAGAAACAATAGAATCTAACTAGTTGTAGTTGATAGTGATGTGTTTGTCCGATCAGTCATTGCTGTCTGTTGTTTGGTCGTGTCTTCAGTCACCACCCAAAGGAGCAACTATCCCATATCGCCCCAGGACCATGCCAGGAGCCGGCCATCCAGTATTTCAACAACAACAACAACAGCAACAACATGCTTCACAAGTGAGTCATTTTTTTTTGTATGTACAAAAGTTACACTTGAATACAATACAGTAAGATAAAAAAAATATACACATCAGCCCTTTGGTACTGATGATTGGCAAGTGATGGCAGGTGATCAAATATCCTTCTAAGGGTGATGATATTATGTTCAGGACATTTACGATAACCTTGTTCAAAAAGCCTGCATGTTCAGGGCATTCTGCATTGTTTTGAGGTTAGGTCACTTCCATTGGAAATGTTAATGTGTGTGTACATTCCAATTCATTTCTTGAAAATGATATACAAGAACCTGTTATATGACGATGGAAGGCTGGAAGGACAGCTACTAGCCACATAATGTTGTTATTGTATATTCATTAACATACCTGCTTGTAATTAAAGATGTAATTAAAATGCAAACTAGGCACTCATTCCGCTCATTCTAGGAATTTCATGGAAATTAATTGCATTTCCTGTTATTCCAATTAAAATGCAGATTCTGCATCTTCCTGGCCTTTTTTGATTCAGAGTTACCAAGTTAGGAAATGTAATTGGAGTTAAGGCTACAAAAACATTCTGAAGTGACACACAATGCTCATTTAGCCAAAAAACAACCAGGGCATCTTTTCACCACCAGAGGGAAGCATCCGCATCCGCATATAATGAAATCTCTCCACTATTTGTAGATTGTGAGTGGCCAGATGAGAAATTGCTGCCACAGCCAGTTGACTTAAACGTCTATAGTCTCTGGTCAGAGCTGTCATATAACTACACAGCAGTTAGTAAGCACATCGCCCCTTTAGAAATTACGTCAGTGTACCGATGTGCATCAACGCTAGACAAATATAACACTTAAGCATCTCACTTTGTCATGTGGCATTATGCATTATGGCTCCCATTTTACATATAGCAAAATCCATTATGACCTTTCACAAATGTGTGTGTCCGATTGGACATCCTGGGCACAAGTTTAAAAAAAATGAAATGAGTAACCTTTAGATTAAATTAGGTGGATCGAAACATAGACGTAGTAGTAGTTACAGATTTTGGGGATGTGACCAAAGCAGCATGGAAACAACATCAAATCCTGATGTGTTGCAACCATTTAGAAAATAATCAAAAAGGGACAAGAGGACAAATGGTCAAACAGTTATAATACCCCACTCATGTATACCATTTTTGCAGGCCTTCACAATTCAAGGACAGTATGCTTTTCCACATCAAGATGTAAGTGTATTTGTCTGATCCAATAACACCCACCCTAATGACCTACTCCTACCCACCACCACCACCTTCCAAGCCACCACTATGCCCTCAGTGCACACACTAGCAAGGATGAAACACTAACACTATATTGTACTGTAGTGTTTATTAACACTAACATAGCAGCTTGCTTTTTTCAAAAGAGTGTGAGCAAAGACGGGGACCATAAAACAATGCTAACGGTGACTTGGCCCCTCTTTCTCATAGAAATACCACATGTAATATTGACGAATCTCATCACTTCCATGACAAGCCAGCATAATTCTGATGTCAAACGTCAAATTCTTCACCAAACTAACACACATTTTGAACTCTGTGTTTGAACTTAAGATTGGCTCTGTATTGTAGCTATAGCTGTCAGCTCCGCTGAAATAATCCAGTTTGATTGGTTAGTTCTAACTTCCTTCCTACCCTGCAGTTGACCAAGCTTCACCAGTTGGCTATGCAGCATATCCCCCTCCCTTCCCTTGGGCAAAGCAACCCTACCTTCCCTGGTACGTACCCAAGGCTCCCTGGGGAAGTCCATCTATCCCTCTCTCTCTGTGCTCCTCTCTCTTCTTCTGTGCTCATCACACCAATCAAAAACCCTCTTCTGCTTCTGGAAGGAACACATCTTCTCTTACACGGTTATGTTTTACTGTATGTCTGTAAAGATAGAGACATTTTTATGAGGTGGTAGCCTACATCTTACAGAACCCTCATCTCACAGACCCCTCTCCGTGACCTTGGCAATGATTATCCTCTGTCTCTAACATCCCCCATACCATCCCTGCCCTATACCACCCCATGTATTCTATCCTACAACAAAGAAGCAGCAAATTGAAATAACACAATATTCAAACAGTGAGAATTATTGAATTATTACAATTGTTTGATAAAAAGACAGAGTATTGCTGAAAATGTATGCATTTCAAAGGATACATTCACAAATTGAAATGCTAAGGTCTATTCATAATCTATCATAATGTATAATTATATGTGTTTTACATCAAAGCTGTTATGTCACTTTGTGCTTTTATGGCATCATGTTAGATGAACATGCAATGTGACTTGAATTCTTTACAGTGACCAAATAACTGATGAATGTAATGTCTCAGGCATCATACATACAGTAACATGCAATGCCATGACTTTCAGTGCATATGGAAACAGTACTGTAGTTACCATGCTATGTCCTACTCTGCAGGAATGGATGCCTCTGTCCCCACAAGTTCTCAGGAGCTGGCAATACCCAATGATGTAAGTCTTGCTCAGTCTCATCAGCATCATACAATATACAGATCACAGTCATTTAGGTACCGCTTTCGCTGCTCTAAAATGAGAATGACAGCTGAAGTTGTTGTTTTTTGTGATATGTAAGCCAACTGAATGCTGTATCTTTACATGATGTTCTATTCTAATCTTTAGGTAGACAGATTTCCAATTGTCAGATGTCCAAACTGGAGAGAATGTTTGTCAGATGTCCAAATTGTGGACATAACATTATGGAGGATACAGATGTTTTTAATTGGACTGATAATGCATGAGCAACACGTGACACATCTTTTGACTTAAATGTTCACTTTCCTATCTTTTCCTCCTCAGTTTATTGGCAGCATAATTGGCAGACAAGGCAGCAAGATCAATGAGATTCGCCAGGTGTCAGGAGCTCACATTAAGATAGCCAGTGCCGCGGACGGATCGCCCATGCGCCAAGTCACGATCATAGGCTCTCCGACCAGCATCAGTGTGGCACACTACCTCATCAATGTCAGGTAAGACTGCCTCGCTTGTGAGTTGTGACCCATGAGGCACTACATGACAGACAACTGACAAGATACAATATAAAATAGAGAACAAGATAGTCAAACAACATAAAATAGTCAAACTAACAGTGTTGACAGGAAGGAAGGATGGAATTGTTTTGTTTTAGGGAAAAGCATTACATCTTATGTAAGTGCCTTGGGGTCTACATACAATCCAGTGATCCAAATTCACAAAAGCATGAAAACGTTTTTGTCTTACTGCTTTTAACACATAACATTCCTCATTTGATTTTTCCCCCCTTTCTCTCACTCTCCTCCCATGCTTTACCCATTCTATTCCCGCCTTTCTTTGGATATGCCTCTCCTTAACTCCTTTGCTGAACCCTACCTTCCCATCTTCTCCCAACCCCATCCTCTCCAAAAATGACTACCTTCCCTGTATCTGTTTACAGCTTAGAGATGGCTAAATACACCATGCAGGCTGCTTCCTCTGCGTCATCTGTTGACCTCAACAATATGAGCTTCTCTCAGTCTGCTCCCACTGTCTCCACACCCACCTCTATGGCTGTCATGGCTGCCACCACCCAAGTCCCTGGCGCCATTAACATGCACTCCCCCTCCACCTTACAGTCCATCACCACCCAGCACTATGCTGTCCCTGTTTCCAGTCTGCTTGGCATGAAAACGCTCCCTATGCTGGCTATGCACCCAGCAGCTGCCTCAGGCCTTCCACAAGGTCTCTCCCCTTACACCACTAAGATTCCTACTGCTGGCATGAAAAAACCTGAGCGCCAGAAGTTTGCCCCATATTGACATATGGGATAAGAATTGAATTCCCCTTCCAAAAACAAATTTGGGGTCAGTACTGCATAACACTTATTCCCTGTTGCAAAGCTTGATTAAGATGTATTGACTGTATGCAGAGGCCTCATGCCCATAGGGGGCACAGGGACATGTGCTCCCTCAGATTTGTCCTGTTTAAAAAATGTTTTGTTGTTGTTTCTCTGTAATACTACTAGCCACCTAGCAATTTTATGAAGTTGGCTTTAGCTAGCCCAGATATGTTCCCAATCTCCCAACCTCATAACTAGCTACCAAGAAGCCATTTCAGGCTATAAATCAAGTTAGAGTAGCTAGCTTGTCTAACTGTCTAAGCTGGCATGCCTGCTGGCAAGGTCTTTAGAAAAGACAAGCAGTTGCTAAATGTACTGAATAAAACTCACATTCATTTCAATCTTTTACCCAGATTTGAGCAGAACTGCAGAGAAGCATATAAGAGGTATGCTCAGATATGCAGAAAAATAAACAGATTTTTGACATAGAATTAAGCATAATGATTATGCTCTAGATTGCAGGAAAAAGCTTGCAGCTGTTTGATTAAGGATATCTCTACTGATAATGAAGCATGACATTCAACTACTTTAGGGTAACAGTATTGTTTGCAGCTGTAAGTAAAGCTAAATACCTCCTTGTGTATCTGAACATACATAACAATACACAGGCATTTCTCAGGCTTACAGTTTGTGATGCACAGAAACAGCTGATCCTTCCAGCAGAACAGTTTTCTCAGATATAATGTACTGTACCTTGTTTTGTATCGATGTAAATAGTTGGCCAATGATGTTGTTAGGAAAAGGCCAGTTTCAAACAGGAATTGACACTGTACCAGCTGCTGACCACTGTTTGGTAACACTTTACTTGACACCCAGTGTCATAACATGTTATGACACAGCCATAACCATGTCATAATATGTCATAACAGCTGACATAACTTGTCATAACCTATCATAATGTGGTCATAACACTGTCATGACCCATTTATTTACACCTGTTGTGACATATATTGTGTTATTTTATGGCTGGTTATGACACCTACATAAGAGTGTCAAAACCCACATTTATTCAAATTAGTTTTTTCCCTGCCAAGAAGTTTCCTTTTGTTTGAATGTTTGTTTCTTAAATCCTTTGTTGTTGTAATGAATTCTTTACAGTCATGTTTTTTTTCATAATATAATATATATATATATATATATATATATATATATTGTAGAAAATACAGTTTATGACACTGTCATGAAGCATTATGACCATCATGATCATATAAGCCAGATAGGCCTATCACGTACATTCCCTTATGTCAGTCATCAGTCAAAAAGAGGGTGTCTTGTCCTGCTCCTGTAATCTGCTCCTGCATTCATCCCAGTCATCAGCAACAGAGCATTGGGGTAGGTGCATGTATGACATCAATGTGTGCGCAATTAAAATGATAATTTAACATGGTCCATAATTTTTTGGGGGATATGACATAAGTAAACATACTGTTGACACGTAGGCTATGGTGTAATGGAATGTTTTGCCTTGTGTGGTAGGTTTTGTTGGTTTTTACACTCTTATGTAGGTGTCATAACTAGACATAAAATAACACAATATATGTCACAACAGGTCTAAATATGTGTCATGACAGTGTTATCCCCATATTATAACTGGTTATGACAAGTTATGTCAGCTGTTATGACATATTATGACATGGTTATGACCGTGTCATAACGTGTTATGACGCTGGGTGTCAAGTAAAGTCAAACCAACTTTTTTTGAAAGTAGTTATTACTGTGAAGTTTACTGTAACAATGTTTTTTCCGCTCTGTCATATTTCCTCCTCTCCTCCAATAGGCTCTCGTCAGTGGTAACAGACTTGGGTGCTCTGTAGTATTGTTACACATGCAGTGTTGATGGGATTACCCTAAAGCCATGTTGGATTCCTGTGGCTTTGACTCTACACAATAGTCCTGTAGAGTGGGACTGGCCTAACTAATTCCTATAGTGCTGTTTTTGCCGCTTGGTTTTCTCAGAACTGAAGTCAAAATTAACAAAGCTCTACTGTCCAATTCATATTCCACTCTGCTCTCAGTATCTGTGGTTGATGCAGCACACTATTGTAACAATGTTATGTTTATGTTTGTGTTTTTGATTAGGTTTTACCCTTAATTTTGTTGATGAGCTCTTACGATTTGTTATAATTGTCCCAGACATGAAATGACTTAAATAAATGGAGTTTTTTTTGTATACAAATGAGTAATTTCTCCTTTTTTATTGTATGGCAAAATCACAAAATCAAACAATTCACACACTTGAGGTTAGGCTACCCCTCAATTTGAATAATGAATGTTTTCATGTGAAGAGTGAAGAGTGAGCCATAATTCAGATATCGCAGGGCCGTGCACAGACCTTTCAGTGGACAGGTGCTCAAAATGAAAAATCCCAAGTGTTAATCAACTGTTATGCTGCTGTGGCAGTTCTGTTGATATTTAAACTAGATAGCTAGCTACACACACTCGACCGGTGACTGCATGTCTCAAGCCATGCATGTTTGTATACTGGGCACGCGCAATCTCCTACAGGGCAGACTGGGTAACAGGCACAACCGGGCACACTCGTGCTCCATACAGGGCAGATCAACAGGTGCAACCAAAGGACGGAGTGGGGCATGGCAAACTTGATGACATCACAACAACTTGCGGACAGTGGGTTTCCGAACTACAATGACCCCAAAAATGTTTTGGGGTAATTATACCACTACCTAAAATGGCACTTTGGAGACTGGAAGGGCTAAGGGGCATGTGCTCTGCACAGGTAGAGCCCTATCTGTGCACGTGCCTGTCTGCCTGAGATATGGTATGGTAATTTAGTCCACAACTACCTTTCCACTTTGCTAGATTCTTTTCAATAATTAATTGTATACTAAAGTCTGGGTTCTTTTTGTAAAAATAACCTTCCTCTAGGAACTAAGACATACAGTTGAAGTCGGAAGTTTACATACACTTAGGTTGGAGTCATTAAAACTTGTTTTTCAACCACTCCACAAATGTCTTGTTAACAAACTATAGTTTTGGCAAGTCGGTTAGGACATCTACTTTGTGCATGACACAAGTAATTTTTCCAACAATTGTTCACAGACAGATTATTTCACTTATAATTCATTGTATCACAATTCCAGTTGGTCAGAAGTTTACATACACTAAGTTGACTATGCCTTTAAAGAGCTTGGAAAATTCCAGAAAATGATGCCATGGCTTTAGAAGCTTCTGATAGGCTAATTGACATCATTTGAGTCAATTGGAGGTATACCTGTGGATGTATTTCAAGGCCTACCTTCAAACTCATTGCCTCTTTGCTTGACATCATGGGAAAATCAAAATAAATCAGCCAAGACCTCAGAAAAAGAAGGCCGCTCAGCAAGGAAGAAGCCACGCACACCTGTCACCATCGTTACACACATCAGCGCTTCATTGGACTCACCTGAACTTCATCACTGCTTGGTTACCTCCCCTATATCTGTCTGTTTCTCAGTTTAATCCCCGTGTCTGCATTAATGTTGTTTCGTTTTCGTTGTCCAGACGTTGTCCGTGTTTTGTTTCATGTCTGTATATATTAAATGTTCACTCCCTGTACTTCTCGTCTCCCAGCGTCTGTCCTTACAGGGGGTGCATGTTTGGATATGCAAACCTTTGAAAGATACTATTTCTTTTTTGTGCAAATATAGTACCCTGTAGTCTCACTGGTGAAATATCTGTTGATCGATATATATCTCTGTCTGACTGTTGTGTAATATGTATTGCATCAGTGGTTCAATTTAATCTTGTTTTTGTGGTGAATCACATCACAAGTCCCCTGTCTGTCAATAACCTAGTCAAAAGGTGTTGAGATCATCAAACATTTATCATTAATAATATTGCTTTCTGTCAAAGGATATGTACCTGTAAGCTACAAACAGAGGGCAAAGTTTTATCAATACAATATTATTTTTATGAACTTGGCTTAACCCAAAACATCAAATTAATATTCAACACATAAAAATGTCCTCTCGGTTGCTGCTGGAACAGCTTTGCCTCCACTTGCCTATTCAAGCATGCTGCTTTTAATGGCCAGGTATACTGCAGTCATCACTGTTTCACTGCCCTCTTCCTCTCAAGAATGGACCCTTGTGCCAGTGCATGTACAGTGCCTTCAGAAAGTATTCACACCCTTTCACTTTTTTCACATTTTGTTGTGTTACAGCCTGAATTTAAAATAGATTACATTGAAAAACGTTGTCACTGGCCTACACAAAATAACCCATAATGTCAAAGTGGATTTATGTTAAAAAAAATTTTTTACAACTTCATTAAAAATGAAAAGGTCAAATGTCTTCAGTCAATAAGTATTCAACCCCTTTTTTATGGCAAGCCTTAATAAGTTCAGGAGTAAAAATGTGTTGCATAGGCTCACTCTGTTAGGTTGGGTGGGGGACTCAGGTGCAGAGACGGACACACGGACAAAGAGAGTAAAATTAGGATGTAGTTTATTCAACGTGTATTGGCAGAGGTAAGTAGTCAGGGTGGAATAGCTTCAGGCTGGGGTAGGAGCTGAGTGGAGTGGAGAGCCAGTAGTCCTGAGAGCTGGATAACGAGGATATCAGGCAACAGAGGAGCAGGTAGCGGCGTGGGAATGGCAGGCAGGCAGGCAGGCAAGCAGGCAGCAGGAACAGACGAGATCTGGTCGAAAGAGAGACAGGTTACAAAACGTGGCAGGAACAACAATAATACTGAGAGAGTACAACTACACTGAGAGTGCTGTACGGCCAAGTTACCACTGGAAGTGTAGGAACGAACTGGCGCTGGAGAGGTGTCCAGCCCGGGTAGATATCTGCTGCTTGATTGGTGCCAATGAGCTGCAGCTTGATGCAACTGATCTGATGATAGAAAGGCCACGCCCGCTGACCTAGAACCTCTGACTGCACAGCAGGGGGAGACAGACACAAACAACACACACAGGGGAGAAAAGGGAAAGGAACACCAACAGGAACAGGACCAACAGAGCCGGACCGTAACAGTACCCCCCCCTCAACGGGCGCCACCCGGCGACCCACCCGGCTTGTCAGGGTGGTCCCTATGGAAGTCC